GCATGAGTTGATATGTACATAAAATAAAGGGCTCAACTAGTAGAATACAATGCCGCAAATTTTAACTTAAATGGAATACCGAGTAAAAAATGGCATCCGTTCAAAGATTTCTTGAATCTGCCATTTTGAATCTTGAGACCAAATAACACATGAGGAGTTAAGCGTTTGATAAGCATTGCAAATTTAACGAATCTTTGAACAGCTGTCATTTTTGACTCGGTTATCCGTTTGAGTTCGGGTTTGCGGCATTGTATTTTATTAGGCCTAACAAAGATCTTTAATTTGGTGTGCATATCGACCTATGTTTACATTGAAGGTTTTCTTCTGCCTCCTAGCAGGCTGTCCCCCTCAGGAGTGAAACTAATTTGGCAACACTTAAAGATACAATTTATGCTATCTTTAACATACAACTTCTCAATTTATGCTACAATACAAGAGAAAAAGCCCTAAGAGAAAATAGTCGCAACCATCTTTTATTTTCAAATAAAAAGCCCACCTGTGCCGAAAGAAGGGTTTTACCGTTTCTTCCAAATCATTTAAAACCCATTGGCAACATCAAATTTAAAAACAAATTAAAAAATTATCTCATAGAAATTGCTCCTTACTCCATTAAAGAGGTGTTTCCCCAATTAACCTGATTTAATTGGTAGTTTCTTAGTTTCCATTTATAAATTGTAATTTTAGCTTATAACTGTATTTACTAGGTTAGGAATTTGACACTATTCAGTGTACAATGTACAATTATTGAATAAAGATATTGAAATGAACAAAAAAATGAAATGAAATACTACAACTACGATCAGCGTTTCCCATTTTTTGAACGCTTCGATTTAACCTAACCTAAAAACGTATTGTATAGTGTTTGAAAGAATCATTATTTCTTTGCTTTATAGTAGGCCTAACTGTAGGAAAAATATAATGTGTAACACAAGTGCAAAGTACCTTTGTTGCACTCAAGAAACTTTCCACACTTGTCTGTGGCTTGTGGGTAAACATTTCTCTCATGTGTAGCAAAGTGCCACTTCCCACACTAGTTACACAATTAACTATTGTAAAGACATCTATAAGCAAAGTAATTCTAATGTTAGTTGAATAGAATAAATTGAATGTATGCCTTCTCCTTCTGTAATACTAACACTATGTAGCCTAAATTATTATGAATAGTTAAAAAACAACAAAATATGTTCTTACCTTAAAATTTCATTGTAGGCTTAAGTTGCTACTGGGATTTTCAGTGTGCACAGCCCCAATAAACAGTGAACATTAAACTAGAATGGCGCATGGTAACGTGAAGAAACGATAAGAAGTTTAGTTAAGATTTTAATGGTACTGTACCTAATATTCACTTTTGGACATTCAAATCACACAATAAGGACAAATGTTAATTTTGGTTTGGATATTTTTGATCAATTTTCAGAGTATACTTTGTGTTAAATTGAGATAAACAAAGGAAAAATAATTCAGGGTTCCCTGAAATAATCTTTTAAATAATCTTTAGTTAAATCCCTGACTTTCCCTGACAATTTTATGCTGATTTCCCTGACCACGGCATATTGTAGGTACTGTGAGATTTCTTAATGTTTAGATATAAGTATTTATCGTGGGTAGAAACAAATTCTTTATTATTTAATATAGCCTCCACCATCCCCATAGCTGCCCTTACCCCTTCTTTACAGGTAGTTTCCCTTAAAGGAAATAAGCTATTGCCGTACATGGTAGGACCTAGACCTGGACCGATTTATATTTTTTAACATTATTTTTTTTACATGTTTAAATGTCCCCAGAAACCAAAAACACCATCCGTTAAAATTAATCATATATTGTATCATATATATTTGTGTCCGTTAGCTAGAATGCTAACTCGAGCAAAAATCATTCAATTTTCATTATGTTTGGGTTCATTTATTTAGTTTATTGAAGTGTTTTTGAATTTGTACAGTTATTAGTTACAGAAAAAATTCAACAAATTGTAAATTATAAATTCCTATGTTAATTAAATAGAAAATAAACTGTGTCAGAGTTTGCTTGTTTGTGGATTTATTTTGATCAAACTTGGCAAATTTAATTTTTTATACTAAACTATTAATATTTTACTTTAAACAAACTTTATTACCTTCCCTGTAGCAGCAAACCTAGATACTTGTTAAACATAATCTTATTTAAATAGATTTAAGTGAAAATGAAATCAGGCAAATGGAAATTGGCTTAGTTTGCAGGTTTGCTTATACTTGCAGCTAAAAAAAACTCAAAAATTGGTGATAAAAATTACATAGACCACATATTTTTCAGAACTTAGTAATCTCTGCAGTCACTATCACGTTTTAACATAGGTAGCAATTCTTATAATAATTAACGCGATCTATACAAGTTTTTGATCAATTTCCTTGACTTAACTTTAACTTTCAAAAGTTTTCCCTGATTTGCAGCCTTTTTAAAAACTTTCCATGACCTTCTCTGACTTTCCAGATCCATGGGAACCCTGTAATTGTATCTCTTATGATAAATAAATTCCCTATGTAAACCTTGCTTTGACAAAAAAAAAACACATTCAAATCATTTTTGTAATGGTGGATCTTTAGATCCTTACACACAACAAGCTTCTTTGTGATGAAAACTTTAATTTGAATGAGGCAAATACTCGATAGCTTGAAGTTTCAATTTTGTATGGCGTTTGAGTGATTTTAGACCGGAAAACTTTTGGTGTGATTAATAGGACATCAGACTTACACCCATGACAATGCTAACTTAGGTGCCCGGTGTTACATTTATTGTAGACAGTGGTAAACTCACACTACCAAACCACCTTGCTATGTGTTCTAAAAACTGTGTAGTTCAAACTACGAGGAGTATTCTGTATAAATGTTTACCAGATTGATGAAAGCTGATTTAAAGTTCACAGTTTTGTCGAACCGTGGGTGACTGTGGAGATGTCGCTGTTACCACAAAAGATGTTCTCAATTTCCCCATGACCGTAGAAAATTATCTTGATTTCGCCATGACCGCAGTATATGCAGTATGAAAAATATTCATAGGGGTAATTGTTTCATGTAAATCTTAATCATAAAAAAGTACAAAAAAAAAAGATTTATATCACAGCATTTTGTTAATGACATTAATTAATGTTAATGACATTAATTAGCCTGTTGAATCCCACGGGCGCGTATACCCATCCGCGTGCAGTTTGAATTTGCCGCGCTAACTACGACTGCAGGTAGAAGAATAATGTGCCGTGTTTGGCACATTCTATTCGGGGAAAAACGCTGATTCTCGTGGTATATTTTGTTTTGCGCTAGCTTGACATGCATCACTGCTGCGATGTTTAGAAGTTAGAACTCAGCTGACGTTTTGTTGTGTGTTGTGCAATTACGTATGTTGCTAGTTTGTTTGAAAATAATGAATAATCGTGTCGGAACGTTGTGTTCTCTTCAAGATAATGAAATTAGTTTATACAGTACTTAGATAATTGAGAGGTTGTGTGATATATCGGGAGTGGATTATTACGGCAATTTCAATGACAATATTAGTGTTCAGTGCAGTGATGGTGATGAAGGGTTAGGCCTAACAGTGTATGATGTTGGTATAACCTCAAAACCTGATTCCCGGGTAAGTGGGGATTATATTTCACATGATGACACAACAAATATTGATAGTACATGTATTATATGTTTCTATGTAGAGAAATAAATTCTCTACTAAATGTATATAATGAGTAAGAGTTTTATTTGAATAAAATAATTTTTATGATAGTTTAGTTTGAAAAATTTTGTACAAATTTTACAAATTTTGACTTTTTTTTACCTAAAGCTTTTTTTATTTAATATTTTATAAATTTAGTTGGTTATTTTATTGCTCTTCAGTTTGTTCTGAACAAAAAAAAATATATTTATATATAAATTATCTTCGTTTTTTAATTTTTTTAAATTTTGTTAAAAAAGTCTGAAAATTAGCAAAACATACCCGGGCTGGGGAAAGTAGCATGACCTAGCTTACTCGGGAGTCAAGAGGTTAATGTAATTAATAAAATGCATTAATGCATTAATTACATGAATTTAATACTGGACAGTTTTATGCAATGTCTAAGCCTAATGTGTACTCCATGATCATCCTTTTTTAGGCAAAAAACATTCTTTCTTCACCAGGAGCAGTCAGAAACAGTACTCGGTGAACCACCATGACATGCTTGGGGTGAACATAGAGAATGGGTTAATGGATTCGTCTCCCCCCATACAAGAGTGAGATGGAGTATGAATTCCCATAAACTACCTATCACACCAACACTACTCTTGTATAACCTCTAACATATAACTTGACATGGAAAATCTCTTGTCACTGATTTTCATACCATTCTATACATTAAAAACTGTACTAATAAAAAATTTTATAGAAAAATAGGTAGAGAGATCTGGGGTATTTTCGGGTTGGGTCAGGCCGGGTCTGAGGGATCGTTTTTGACCAAGAATCATTTTTGTGCCAAACTAGGGTTAGGTCAAGCCAAGCCAAGCCAAGCTTTTATTTTTGCCGAACGAATAAATCGTCAGCTCTGTCGACAGTTTTGTCGCAATCGTGGGTGACTGTAGAGATGTTCCTGTTACCACACAAGATGTTCTCAATTTCCTTGTGACCGTAGAAGATTATCTTGATTTCCTTATGACCGCAGAAGATTTTCTCGATTTTGCCGTGACCGCGGAAGATGTTCAAAATGTTGCAGTGACCAGGGAACACGTTCACGATTTAACTGTGACATGGGAATCATGTACCATATTATGTATGAATCAACTGTAGTATCACAATTACAATTTAGCTACTTATTAAAATCAATAAATTGCAAAGCAACCCAAAGTAAAAATAGTGTGGCCCATAGACTCCTAATAGTCCCGGTACAAAAACTTCACCGGCGCCCAGTTTTCTACCCTAGGTTTTTATAGAGAACAGAGTTCTGTCATGAACTCCAAATAGTCCTCATCCACCATAATGTGACAGCAATGTAACACTGGACTTACCAATCTCTCTAGTATCTGGGAACGCAAAGGGCTGATTGGCACTGATGGTAGAAAACAGAGTATCTGTCATGAACTCCATGTAGTCCTCATCCACCATCATATGGCTGTCATCTCCATGAGGCTGCCACTCCAGTAGCTCTAGTTCTGACAACTGTAAATATAAAAATAAAACTTATCTAGGGTAAAAATTTATCAGATTTGAGCAAAAAGTAAAAAAAATCATGGATGAGAATGAGATATGGTGGATATGGTATTGGATGGATGAGGCATGGACAATAAACTGTGCCTAAAAATCCCTCCAATGGTCGGAATAAGGCTGTCATGAACTTATTCCAATAAACACACTTTTTTACATGCTACCAAGGTTTTTCTTAAATGGAATGATTCTTGCTTGCTGTAATTTAATACTATCACAGACATTACTGTTATTATTACAGATATTATTGTTATTATTACAGAATATATTATTGTTATTATTACAGTTATTGGTGTGGATGATACCAAATAAATGTTTAGAGACTAGAGATGAATGAGAAGAATTAAGGAGAGGTTGGAGGGATAAAATACAGACCGCTAAGGATGCTAGATTTGTATGGTAAATTTTTGGAACGCCTCGTGTAGCACGGCTTCTTGCAGAACTGAATGAAAAAGATGGACTTGCAAACCATTGAGGCGAGGGTAGCACAATCTATAGGGGATACCATGTAGCAAGTCATAAGCTTATTAATGATGCCAAAAGCTGTGCGAGCCGCTAAAAGGATCTGTGTCTATAGGTTACTTTGGAAAGGGACATCAAGAATGCTTTCAACAGTGCTTCATGGAATATTGTGGAAGAGCGGAGAAGAACAGGGGTCTTCTTATACCTGAGAGGTATAGCCCTAGACTGCCTCTGAGATAAAAGGATCATGTTGGAGACAGGAAAAAGCATGAAGATGACATGTAGAGTACCTCAGAGGTCAGTTATTGGGCCCCATCTGTGGAATCTGTACTATGATTCAGTTTTGAAGAAACGATCTGAAAATATCACACTGGTAGGATATGCAGATGATACTGCTCTCTTTGTCAGAGCCAGCTTTGTAATGGAGTTAACTTGGAGGTATTGGGGATAAGCGCCTCCCAGAATGTCCATGAAAAGACAGAGGCAGTCTTGCTGCTCACAAAGATAAATCTAAAGGCTTTAAGTCATTCAAATGGCTAACACCCTGATTGACACAAAGAACTGCCTAAAACCTGGGAGTTGAGTTTGAAAAAACTGCAGAATGGTGAAAAACGTGTGTTAGTATTCTATTCATTTATATTTTTTGTCTGTCTCTAAAACACAATATGTTTTGAATTTTAAATATTTTTGCTTTTGATCAGCCTGGAACTTATACAACATGTTTTGGCTTTTAAATTCTAACACGTTCTTTAGTTATTTTATTTATTTATTTTTTTTTATATTTTATTTCAATTAATATTGGTTTCTATTTATAAAAGTATTTTGTCTTGGGCAAAATAGCTAACTATTGTTACACCTCAAGAATAAACCTCAAAATTTTACCTAAACGGAGATTGAGCGATTGGGACATGAACACATCATTACTTAGGTCGATAACTCTGCTTACACCTGTCGTTCTGGTGATAAAACAAAATGGCAATGTGAGATTATCTTATGTGCGACTACAAGGTCTAGGTTACACTCAACAAAGTTATTGAGAAGGTAAACTATCCTATACTAAGCAAGAATAGAACATGAGTAGAGGAAAATACTTTTTTATACTTGACATAAGTAGTAATACGTAAATGGTAATGGATGATGAAAGATTAAAGTGCTAAAATACAAACCTTAAGCACACACAAAGGATTTTTTAAGGCCAATCATCTTATGTTTGGAGTGAAGGTGGCTTCATTTCTCTGGCAAAGAATCATGGACTCAAAATTACAAGTTCTGGATGGAGGAACAGTGTTTCTTCGATGATATACGTGTACAAGGATCTATATTTGATGAATCTTTACAAAGATTAAAACCAGTACTAAATGTGTTGTGTAGCAAGATTCTACGATTGAAAAGAGAGAAATGCAAATTTTTGTAGAAGAGCATAAAATACTTGGAACACATAATTGATAACAATGGTTTACAGTTGCACAAGAGTACTGAAAAAGAAGCAATAACTAATGCAAACCGTCCTTCAAGCATCAATTAACCAAGGTCGTTCTTGGGTGACTTACTACAATATATTCATTTTGTGCTTCTCTGCTTCTTATTGTTTATCCTTAGAACAAATTGCTAAAGAATAAAAAACCATTTAATATGACATCAGCTTGTGAACAAAGCTTCAGGAAAGTGATAGAAGAAATTGCAAATGAACGGACATTAGCTCATTTTGTTGCCTCGCTACCTTGGTCCTTGCTACAGATGCTTCTCCATTACAAGTAAGACTTGGGGCTATCCTATCACATCGAATGAAAGATGACAGTGAAAGACCAAGATAGCTTTTGCCTCCCGAGCATTGACAACGAGTGAACAATACAGCAAATTCTTCTTTTACTGTTATGGTTGTAAGTTTGCACTGATTACAGATCATAAACCTTTAGTGTCTATTTTCAATTCACATAGAATTTTACAAAAAATGACAGCTACAAGGATCTTTAACTATTCACACTTCCTTTCAGGTTTTAACTACACTGTTGAATTTCACAGAACACAAAACCATTCGAATGTTGATTTTCATTCACCATTTTCAGTTAAGAGCACACCAGATTTCATGGATGGTAATGTTGTGTTTCAATTAAGTCAGTTGGAAACAATGCCAGTCCCCAAAGAAGAGATTGCAAGAGAATCTTACAATGACAGAACAACAAAAGAAATTATTAAATTACTTAAAGAGGCAAAAAGGATCAAAAAGTTGGTTTACATGATCACAAATTTAGTCTCCAGGACCATTGCTTGTTTAAAGGAAACAGAATAGTGATTCCAACAATTTTGCAGAGTAAAGTCCTACAGAAAAATCACATTGGACATTTAGGGACGGTTCATGAGCTCGGGACTTCATAGTTCGCGCCCAGACGTTGGTCCTGGACTATGTAAGCGACAACAAAAAAAATGGGTTCACAAGACAGAAGGTAATGATGTGAAAGCCAGGCTTATTTTTGGTCGAAACCAAATCGAAGCGGAGCCTAATGGCAGGGATTTGCAGGGAATTTTTGTTGGGACATTGGTAACAACAGCCTGGAAACACATGTGAAGCCACTGCTCCTGACTTAGGCCAGGGACACACTTACCGGCGAAACCGCCGGACGCCGGATCCGGCGGTGCCGGAGCAAGTTGAGATACACAGGAAGGCATGGGGCAGGCCACACTTCTCCGGTTCGGCGAATCTGCCGATCCGGCGGGAAAATGCTCCGGCGAAACCACCGGATATTCTCGGAGCAGTGGGTAGCGGGGCATTGTGCCTTATGGAGACGAACACACATACCGGCGAAACAGCCGGACTACGAATGCCCCCACTCCTTAGTCGTGGTTCAACCCTCGAGGGTGGTGGTTGTTTATGATTTTTATGCAGTGTCCAAGTGGTGTATTTAGTTTTGTTTTGCTATTTAGTTCATTTAGTTTTTATTTTTAGTCTGTTTAGTTTTCTATTTCATCATGGTAGATGTTGATATGAATTTACTTATTAGTTTGGTTCATGAGAAACCAGAACTTTGTGATAGGTCTTTAGAAATTTACAAAGACAAAAACAAACACGAGGGACAGAAGCAGCTGGCGACAAATTTGTGCCGCACTGAATCCAGCCTTTCCAGCGTCCTATGTATGTGGTTTGTCCTTGTATTTGCAGTGTAATCTTCGATAGTACCTTGTCGAATGAGGGGACAGACATTCAAAAATAATTTAACACGTTCGCTACTGCAATAGTACGAAACTTTTCATTCACGTGGACCAGCGTCGCACATATGCGTCGACCGGGTTCCACCCATAGACTGCCGTCGCATATATGCGTCAGCTAGTCACATTAAAATAGACCGCCGTCGCATATTTGCGTCGGGGTTCTAATGTTATTAAAATGCTTATATCTTTGTAACGGTCTATTTGAATGCACTGAATTCCCTGCAGTGGTCTACAGAGATGTCTGACGCACAACTGCGTCGCTTGGTCTGTGGATATGATGATTGGTGACGTCATATGATAGTTGGAAAAACTGGTCTTTACTTTTCTGCATCACTGTATGTATGTATGCAGTATGTATGCTGCATTACCCTATGTAGCTTTTATATTTGTTCAGTTATAAACTATTCTTGATCAATATATTTTTTATTTTACTTTCACCTCAAAACACAAAAAATGAACTGTCGCATATATACGACGTTTGGTCTATTTCAAGAAAACTATGATAATTTTCACTATTGTCTTCGCTGTAGACCGGGCGTCGCAAATATGCAACATTACAAAAGGTTATTAATAATAAAAAAAAAAACAAGAATACATTATTTACAAACACGATTGTAGCGTATTACAATGTAAATGATCACTGTTTTACAGGTTTTCGCCCGTGTTCTGTGTGTACTGTTATCCAAGTGACAGCCGGTCTGTGTGTAAGATTCAAATGTATACCTCGGTCTGTGGCAATGTAGCGAACGTGTTAAAAACTTATTTTCTTCATTTCTCAACTGTAAAAATAGAGTGTAAAAAGCTCCATGTAACTGTCTGTTCTCCAGAATAGGATGCACCCAAACAGTTCGGTGGTGTTTTCTCTTCCTTCTGTGGTGGATCAAACACAGCAAGGCCAACTTTTGAGGTCTCGACAGCACCATTTCTAAAACTTAACTGTACCGTACTAGAACTGTACTAGTCTAAGACAAAACTGATTCAGAGTTCATTGCACTCTATTTATTGTCGCCGGCTCCGGCAAAAACTGTTTTGCCGGAACAAGTGTGTTCTGACCCTCAACCTACGGCGGATCCGGCTCTCGGCGGTTTTGCCGGTAAGTGTCCCTGGCCTTACGCACTTCTATACAATAGGATGATCGCGAAAAAAGCTGAACCAAAACTTCCAAAACGATTATTATTCACATATTTACGTTTTTTAATAATCCATCAAATCTATATATATATATACTTATTTAATATGCAAGCAAGATTTTTGTGACAATTACTCCTCCGAAACTACTGAACCGATTGACATGTTTTTGGTGTCATTGGAAAGAGCGTAACGTGAAGTTGTGCAGGAAACTTTCTTTTTTAGGAAATAATTGAGTAAGGCCTGGGGGCCGCCCTTTAAAGTTTCGTATTTCTCCATAAGATTAACATGGGAAACAAATATTGTTATGAAACTCCAGCTGTTGTCAGAAATGCTGTTCTACTATTTAATTTAATTTGTTTACAAGGATAGTTGTTTCTTGGTGCCATGTGATCAATGAATTATAGTTTTGCATATATTTTAAATGATATACACTATATAAAATGATAGTACTGTAATACAGTACATTAAGAGATCTTAATTTAAATAATCACTAAGCAGAATTGAAAATTTGCCTATATGTTTCCTAATAAGTGTGTTGTAACTGTTTCTCATAGTATATTATAGTATCTTAAAGTAAAACCGAATTATTGTTTTCTGTATTTCCACCCCGTAGCGAAGCACGGGCAGGGCAACTAGTTTCTAAAAAAATTCATTAGATCTATAAAAGTTGTTTACAAATAATGCAATTAATGGAAAACAACTAAAATTTTCGATAACTTTTTGTAAAAAAATCTAAAACCAAGAGAGATTAATAACCTCGGGACTTTATTTACACATATAGTTGGTCGGATGTACTATAGTTCTTACTTAACTATAAGCCTTGGTTTTTGGTACTGGTTCTTTTCCTTAGAACCAACCGGTGGTAGCAGCGAGAATCATTTTTAAGTACCAACACATCCCTAGTTACAAATTAGTTATCGTTGGTGTTGCAACCTTATTTATTACAGTCGTATTCAATTTAATTGATGTTTCACCGTATAAGTTTTGCTTTTTCTGACTGGATTCCAAAATGTTAGTTTGTGCTAAGAAAATGTTTGAGTAAAACATTTGTTGAGCAAACCATCATGATTTTTTTTACCCTTTACCTTGTTTATGTATCAATAGTTTGTGGCCTGTGTGTTGTAAATTACTAAACTAAATAGTATTTAGTACTTCATTTCATATAGTAAGCTATCATTTTGTGTCATCTTCGGACTATGCAAATATAAATTTTTATGATAAAGTTTGGTGACACTAAAGTATATGTACTTTGCTTTGGTTAAAGCATAGCAAATTCCATTATTGAATTCTGTATTTTTGTGAGTATGTCTATTGGTAGCACATATTTCTCAGTGTTCCGTACGGACAGGACAAGATCACCTTTGATAGTGAAAATTTCAACCGGAATGTTTAATGGTGAGGTTGATGTAGTATTTTAACTACTTTTAACCATTGTGGAAAGTAGCTTTCAATTATAGGCCTACTTTAGGGCTATGCCTCATAGATCTATAAAGCATTTTTTGTGTTGAAACTGTCAGATACTGTATTTGTTTATATATAACAGTTTCGCCAGCATATCTGAAAATATGCAAGCCAACTACTGTTTTTTATATAAGAAGGTTTCAACTGACTACTATAAGATCCCCGTGCGTAGAACGGGCACACAGCTGGTCTGTACTAAATATGGTCTATGCATGATTTTGTTAATATAATTAGCCTTATTTCCTCACTTTTATTGTCTCAGATACCTTTATCTAGGCCCCATTACATCAGCATAGTCTCATATTATTGAACATACACATTGGTTTTGTCATTTAAATTTATATTCACATCCCTAAATAGAATTAAGATTTTTTTAAATTAATCGATGTATAAATGATAAGTACAACACAGAACGGTGTTATCACCACAAACCGTACTCAACGACTGACTGAAGGTTTGCTTGATGATTCCCACGGTAGTATAACTATTTCTTACAATTATGTTATGTAACGGTGGCTAAACTGTGTCTGATTAATTAAATATATTGATAATTTACACATAATTTTATTGTTAAAATTGTAATAAAATGGGGTTTATCAGTAACAATATGTTTTTAATGATACTACTTTGTTATGTACATAATTAATTTATTTGTTGTTCAAAGGCTTATTGCGGACATTTTCCATCACGAATGTAAAAAATGTCATCACTATCAATGTCATAAAATGTCATAAATTATACCATGAATGTAATTTATTTGTCGTTTCAAGTTGTTTGATGATTTTCTTTACGTTTTATGAGCTTTTTTACCATTTTTACATAGTTTTTTAGTATGGTGTTGTGGGTAATGAAATTGTTCCAAATTTAATAAGGAACTATATTTAAACATTAGTTTTTGAAAAATTATAAAAATAAATTAGCTAATTAGATAAAACTGGCATGGTGTCACCTTAAACCTTCCTCCTACCAGGCCAGGTCTGAATTGGAGACCAAATGCCATTGTTATTTTGGGCTCGGACCATCTGCTTTGAGCTCGGACTTGACTTGTAAACTCACCGGGATTAATGATCGAAAGCTGTGACTATCGTAATTGGACTTGTGAACCCACCTTTTAAAACCAGGTTTTATCCCTGCACTAATTGTGTGGAGCCTATCAGTTTGGTCCGCGGCTTATATAGTCTCGAGCTCTTGAACCCAATTTTTTAAAGTTACAGCGCAAATACCGGTTATTTCCGGATTTTGGGCTCGGACTACAATAAACCCGAGCTTATCAACATCCTCTTAGGCATTGTAAAGTTGAAGGGGTTAGCTAGAAGTTATTGTCACTGGAAGGGCATATATATATAGCGACATACAGAATTTGGCAAAAACCGGCAAAGAGTGTTGCCAAAAACAGAATAAACCAAGCTTAGTGACTCTTCACCCTTGGGAGCGCTCCAGCCATGGCAGAGAATTCACATAGATTTCACTGGACCATACACTTGGAAATCAATACTTTTTCATCATTGTTGATTCGTTTTCTAAATGGGTTTATGATATTCCAACAAAGATAACAACCTCAGCATGGCGCATATAGACGATTCGGAATTTGTTTTCAACTTTTGGAATCCTCCCGTACTAGTATCTGACAATAGACCACAATTCACATAATTTACATTCAAAAATGTCTAGAAGATAAATAGTATCATCCACAAGACATGTGCTCCATTCACCCACCTTCATCAAATGGGCAAGCTGAAAGATTTGTTCAGACGATAAATAAGGGCCTAAGTGCAATAAAAACTGAGGTAGGAGACATAAGCACAAAACTACCAATTTTCCTAATGCAACTAAGAAAGTCTGTAAACTCAACAGGTAAAGAGAATACTTCCTAATGTTCAATATAAATATAAGAACTTATCTTTACTTCATGCTAGTGACAAACGAACAAGAAACAGCAAATGAGAATGAGAGTTAAAATAAAAGATATTGCAGTTTTATCATTGGAGAATGGGTTCAAGCTTTATGCTACAATCAAAAAGGGAAAAACTGGATTTTCGGAAAGAAAGAGTTACAGCTAAAGAAGGAAAAGTGAGCTCTACAAATGGAAGATTGCTGCATCTGGAGAAGACATGTCAACCAGATGTAAACTTGCCAATTAAAAGGGGAGGATTGATGGATATTACCAATGAATACAGACCTTTTAAGAAGCGAAATGCTTATGGAGAATCATTATGGAGAATGCTTATGGAGACTGGAATTTTGCTGCCGAAATGAGCTTTGCGCAGCAGACACGCTACTCTATCTCTCTCTCTCTTTGCAAGCATATTCATTGTCTCACTCTCTTTCATTCAGTCAGCTGACCTGGCTACACGATTGCGATAGTCTACCTAGCAGCGGCCACGGGAACTAACCAAAATTCAAATAATACCAGACTGAATTTTTAACAAAGGCCTTGCGCTCCTTAAAGTGTTTATATTCATTGATATTACTGTCTAAATTCATATGTTAAAATTAATCTTGCTTACTTTAAAATACTTGTATTTACAGTTAGTTGATTGTTTTTGTTAAGAGTTTGAATTAAAATGGATTTTATGATTGTGTTTAGTTCTGGAGTTAACTATTTCTTACATATTTAACAGTAGGTACTAAACATTTGTCAGATATTTTCTGATTCAATAAAAGCTTGTTTCAATAATATTTTTCTGTTTATTTGCACTAAATATCTGAAGAGGCTCGTGTTGAATCAGTTGATCAACAAAAGGCTCATGCTTGCCAAACCGAAGTTAACCAAAATCATTCAATTTAATGAAAATTATTGGATGTTTCTACTCTGCTTAGTGACTATGATGAGCAAGATCGTGAAGATGAAATAAATGGACTTTGTGTCAGCATAGAAAGTAAAATACCTATATAAAGGTAAAGGCAATGATGACAGTAAATATCTTACATCTCATCTCAATGAGCAGTAACACTAACATGGCAGTTGTGGGTGTGCTTAACAAACATATAGGTAGTTAAAATACTTTAATGGTGACTCTCAAACTTGGATAGCTTTCATCAACCTCTTTGATCCTCTTTGATTCCTTCCGAATTTAGTGAAACTAAATTTAAACACTTTTGTACACTCATCCACGCAGCACATTAGCTGTTCCTGTAGCCGGCCATTGCACAGCTGCAGAGAATGTGTTAATAGAGGAACCCATATGGTATATATGTTTTGTCAGCAAATATATATGATATCAGTAAATTTATTAAAAATGGATTGGTCAATCTGAATGCAAATTATTTTTCTGAATTACCATGTCCTGTGGGTCCAGCCCATCTTTAGAACAACAGCCTAAGAGACGGTTCCTGTAAAACAGCCTCCATTTCTTGTACTCAGCAGTCACTGCATTGAGCTTTCTTTTCCAATACTTCCCTTCCAGTACAATCGCCTGAAACAAATAACATAATTTAATTACTGATATTAAAATACTTTACTTCAATAATTACAGTTGAGAAATTTTATTTTCAATTCACACTTGTCCATACAAAAAGTTTAACATTATCAAAGTGAAATAAAAACTGGTATTATACATGGTTGAAAAAGTTTTAGTTTTCACTGTCTTTTTCTTATTTTTATGATGGTTATTTGCAAATTAAGATCTCCAAAGAGCTAAATTTACTGCCAAGTGAGCTAGTTTAGATATCAAACTATAGTCCTCGCCACCCTAACTTGAGGCAGCCCAAGGCCGCAAGCCCTATATCTAGTGCGGCGTTGGGCTGCCTCAAGTTAGGGTGGCGAGGACTATAGCAGTGCATTCTTTACTTCCAACCATTACCATTACCAAATCCTTGATTGTAGCCCAGCTCTGGATAATCGTGTCAATTACATTTTCACATATAGGCTATATATATTTATATTTACACAATTTACATTGAAGTTTATTTCACAAAATCAAATAAATTTTTGTTGCCAACGCCGAAAGGAGCTCTCATAAGTCGGTGAAAGTTTTTTTTTTTAATATTCCTGGACAGAGTAAAGACTATTTTTCTTTAGCCAATTCCCGACTCTTGTTTTAAACTGCCTAATTGGAAGGATCTTGCATTAAACATCTTGAGAGCAAGCACTGGGTTCCTATCTTTTGTCGAACCAGGCGACATCGAGAAATGTTAATATTAGCTCTGTCACGAATGTTGTACTGGTGGACCTGGTCTCTTATAGTTTTCAAGATTCTCTTTGACCAGCAACAGGGAATTCAAAACAAATTGACTGTGAACGGTAAGAATGCCAGGTTCAGCAAACAGAGGTCGACAGTTGTCAACCCATATGCGACCATCAGCCTCGTTATAGTTTGGCTCTCTCCTGGGACACGTACACTCTGAACATAGTTTTGTATTTTTGTATGTTTGGTCAATTTATTGTGCAATGGTTTATATAAATAAATTGAATTGAATTGAATTGAATATAGAAAGATTAGTTCCTCATTGAAAACGATTGCTATACACTGGAAGAAATCTTCTTTCTAATAGCAGAGGTCAATGATGTTAAGATCACAGACATTAGTTATGCAGCTATGACAAAAATACTGTATGGACGCAGTACTTGTGGGAAGAACAAGTACATACAATATAATTTGGTTAGTACAATTCCACAGCAGAAACGATGGACGTTGAAGTGAATAGAACCAATGTAATCAATGTAAGTGGAAAGGAAAGTGTGCTCCAATGTTTTAAGTATTATAATATTCAAATAGCTGAAAAGCTGACTGGTTAGCAAGATTGCCTCCTTACCAGTGCAGTCAGTGAATAGTTTTAAGCAATTCTTTATAGGAGTCCACGGGTCTTTTACTTGGGTTGGGTCTCGGACCAAAATCGGGTTGCTTTGGAAAGGATTGATTTTAAAACTGTTGAACTAGGCTACAATTAATTTAATGTACCAAGTTTCGTGGCAATCAATCCAACGGTGTCCGAGCTCATAACAGTCAAACATACAAACTTTCTTTTTTATAAATATAGATTGTACAAGGGCTATCCAGAAAGTGACAAACAGTTTGGCCTGCTGCGGCAGTGGGTGGGGTTAGGATCGCTATCTTGGCAACAGAGTATTCCTATACTCAGTACGCAACCAGCCGTGGTAGCTAGAGCATTGTGTCTTCTGTACATTTTATCCAGTGGAGTTTAAAAATGAGGGCTACAATTGGAAATCCCTTTAGTTGACAAGGCGTCGTGTGATAAGTTTTTTGTTTGGTGAAAAATTACAAACCGATTGAAATTTATCGCCAGATTTGTGATATGTACGGCCAAGGAATAATGATGTTAATGATGAGAATCGCAGCGGTAGGCCTAGTCTTGTGACTGATGAATTGGAGGTGAAAATCAATGAAAAAAATCTTTGAAAATTTTACGGCAACGGAACTCTTAGAAATTTTTCTTCAAAATTCACGGAGTTTTGTTCATGGTAAACTTGGATGGCCTACCACAAATTTTGTGCCAGATGAGTTCTGAAATTGCAAACGGAAGAAAAAAAAAACAAAGAGTTGCTGCAGCACTGACATTTCTGGAAGAGTATGCCAAAGTGGAAACCATGTCAACTTTAGAACTCAGTTAGAATCATATTCCAGCTGGTGAAGAGACTTCCGGATAAAAACATGTCAACTGTGGAACAAAAAGGCAGTTGATGGAATTGGGTCACACACATTCCCCCCAAAAAAGTGTTATGCAGACGCTATCAGCAAGTAAAATCTTGCCTACTGTATTTTTGTATGTTCAGGGAGTGATTTTGGTAGATTTTCTTGAACGTGGCCACATAATCAACTCAGAGTGGTATTGCGAAACACTCTGAAAATTAAGACGTGCAATCCAAAACAAGCGTCGTGGAAACTAGTGAGTTTCGTGAGTCGGTGGCTCAGTCGGTAGCGTCGCGGACTTTAGGCCCAAGGTAGCGATGTCGTGGGTTCGGATCCTGGTCACTGCCGATAACATTTTATCAGTACAGTTCACCTTTGTACTGTACCGGCTGACTCCTTGCTTTGCTGTAAACGATCCACGCGCTGGCGCTTAGTCTATGTGGATGGGCAAATGCAAGGTTAAAAGAGGCCGCCAACCTCTTAAAAAAAAAAAAAAAAAACTTAGCCAAAAAGTTTTGCTGACAAAAAGTTTTGCTATCATGACAATGTCTGTCCACACACGGCCAATCATACCAGATAGCTATTGGATGGTTTTAAATCATCCGCTGTACAGCCCGGATTTGGCACCGAACTACCATCTGTTCCCAGCGATGAAGACGTGGCTCGCTATATAACGCTTTGACACTGACGCTAGTGTAAACTAGTGGTTGAACTCACAGGGGGGTTCCTTAAAGAGTCGGCAAGACCGGCGGCCATAATGGATTTTCAGCCCATAACAGCAATTTTAATAGATTAAGCATATTACGGCATTGTTTATTAAGATAAAAAGTTACAAAATATCTCTTTTTAAAGCTATTGAAACCGCAGATGTGATTTGCTATTTACTTACTTTTTAATTTTTATTGTTATTATTTTATCAAGCTACATAAATATATTGACTTAAAACGGTGATTTTTCAACCTCTAAAACAAAAGTCTTAACAATCCTTAAGTAATTCACACGGAAAATAATTTTAAGAATCACATAACATTTTTTGCTCAGTAATCAAGCTTAGAGTGCATGATATATGCTTCAACGTAAAGGCATGTTTTTGCTGATCGGCGCTAGGACAACCATTGTTTAGCCTGGCATCTGACAGTCAACGACAATGCCAAATTATTGACTCCTGCTGACTCTTATAGAGGGTATTGAAAAGCTTGTACCACGCTATGATAAATTTCTTAATTAAAATGGTATTTAGGCCTATGTAGAAAAATCGCCTTAAAGCTAAGATTCAAAATGCATATGGTAAAAAATTGATTTTTTATTTTGTATTTGGTTTATTTCAAAACGTCTGTAACTATCTGGATAGCCCTTGTATATTTTCCTGTCATCAAGGTAAATTCCTAAACGTATATCATCATTGTTGTGGCAAAATCGTGAACATCTACCACAATGGCAGCAAAATCATTAATTTTCAATCATGCAATCATCCCAGAAGCTTTCTGGGATTGCATATATAAAAGCTCGGTTCAGCTTGATTTGGTGACTTGGCTCGAGAATCTGCACAGCTTTAATATCAATATAAATAACCTAACTTGAGCATGACCCATGAATCATTTCAGGCCCTAACCAGTAACCAATCTTTTGAATCAACTGATGACCCTTCACTCCAACTGACCGGAAAATGTTAAGGACCCGCAGTTCCCTAATTTTTATTGTTCAAGGGCCCAGTTGGCCTTGATTATTGATCTTTTAATGAAGAATCAGCTTTACATCATCACTACTAGATCACAAGGCTTGCAACAGTAACCACCATCACAGTTTGACAGTGGTTATAAAGCATTCAAGTCATTCATTCTCCATGCGTGTGTGTTTGTCTCATATATGCAATAATACAATAATCACTCAATGTTACTCAACTTACTTCGGGTTTGTTGTGAGTGTCTGTATCCAGCGGAGATGCAAACTGGCATACCAATGCATTTTTCTTGGTGATAACTGTGTAAAAAAAAATTGTATTGGTTAATTTATTCACAGACTTATATTAAACACTAAAAATTATACTTTTTATACCTGACCAAAATAATACATACTTGATAAACAAAAAAAAAATTTAATCGTAAATTATTTTCTTCAAAATAGAAACATTTGTATAGTATTAAATTATTCTAGTAACATGTAATTGTAGTAAATTTTGGCATAACTATTCTCAACAATAAATATTTATAGGGAGACTTAAGCCCAGTTCGCACGAGCGACACCTCTATTAGGCAGAATGTGATTAGATCGCAGGCGCGACATAGCTGACCACAGAATCAAATAAACCCGTTCACATGAGTGTACGGCAGTTGCGATAGAGCCAATTGTCGCATAAGACAGTCAGGGATTGCTACTTAGCGGCTCACCGCGGCTAGCCAGCCAATACCCCTGTGGCGTAGCAGTACATGTAGCCTTATGTTCACATGTCTAGTCAGTCGTCGTGCTACAGCTTGAATACTTGTCCATTCTTTTCATTGTGAGTGCCAAGAGGCTTTGATACCAATAACCATACACAGGGTGTTGAAAAAGTCTTAACACACGCAAAAATAAATTAAACGGCTCAAGATAAAATTTAGCAACCTCAGCATATCATTATATGATGACTTTTCTAGCTTTTGGCAAGACATTCAAATTTGTCCCCCTCAACATTGTAATAGGGGCAACTAAAATTTTTTAACACTAATACTGAAACCCCACATAGGCTGACGTTAACCGAAACCCCCGGTTTGTGAGACCCCATTTGAAAAATAATGGACTTTGCTTAGAAACACACAAACCGAAACCCTCGGTCTGTGAGACCCCGCTTTAAAATACACTAACGTTGGGCTTCTGAGACGGACATGTTATGAACAGACAACCTGTCAAGGTCACGGCACCCATGCAAAATGAACAAACGATATATCAATAGGTAGGGGAGAAAAGGGGGGGAAGGTACTGGGGGAATGGAATCTACCAAGTAAACAGTGTTGCCAACATGCGTTTTTGAAAATTCCCGTGGGCCTGTCAGACCAGGGTTTCGGTATTAGTGTTAAACGTAAAGACCCATGTTGTGGTCCTCATTTTAAAGGTCTTGTTAAAAGAAAACATTTGGTGTGATTGAAATCTTTTTATGACCATCCTGAACATAATGGCAGCCTAAAACACTTTAAAATGGTATAGGCTTAATGAAATGTTTAAAGCGAATGCGGTACGGTACACTGTATAAAGTTTTACAGTTATTGTTGTTGAATCTCTTTGAACAGATAAAAAATAATCATACTTTGAAAATTGGGATTAGAGTTTAAGTTATCGTATTTATATGCCTTTTTTAGTGTTGGAAACAATGTTTACCTACATAAATAGGCCAACAATAAACCAAAATAAAACAAAAATTTTAATCTGACCTTGTAGTTTTATTCCTAATAATAATAGTTTAAAAGAGGCAATAAGAGTTCAGATAACTGGTGAGAAAAACTTCAAACATTCACATCAAGTTGTGTACAGCCAAACAAAACATGTTTACAGTCGTGAAATAAATGAGTTGGATACAAGTTGGATGCGTCTGCTACCTTACAAGTGCTATGACTGTGTTCTAAAGTTTCATAGAGGTTTATTTATTAAAAGTTGGTTTATTGAAAGCATAAGATCAACCAGTAACAATTTAGTGTAACAGTGAGTGTTTAGGAACATATTGAAGCAAGTAAAACAATTTATTATTCATTTACCATTGATATAAAATGATAAATATTTACTACTTACCATAATGAGGTTATGCATGCTTGATTTTTAATTTGAACAAACAGCATGATTTATCACTTTTTCAGCACTATTGAACAATTGCTAACTACACTTTGATATACATTTTACTTAAATATTGTACTTAAAGTCCTAATTATTGATATTAAACGTGAAATTTAAACAGGATCTGGGTTTGAGACTAGCTCTTGCTTATACCTGTATGTTTATATTTTTGAGTTATAATTTGGCGGAAAGAAGAAGTTAGAGTTGTCTGCACTTGCAGACGATGCTCAGCCACTTTGGTTTCCATGAAGCTTTAACATCCTTGTTGGAAGACTAACTCAGAGCATATTTGTATTTCCTACAAGATAGATACGGAAGACTTTGATTGATTTTTCTTACTGCAGCATATATGTACAGAGGTTATTTACAGTTTTATTTTTGTAATTGTATTATATATTTTAATATTTTATTATACGTAATTAAAATCACTAATGGCGGTTAGTAATGAAAAGCTTGCTCCTATTGGTTGGACAAGACGAGAAGTTGAGAGAAAAAAAGGGGCAAGCAAAGGAAAATTTGATGTATACTTTTACTCTCCAAGAGGAAAGCTATTTCGACCCAAAAAACAAATTCAAGAGTATATAAAAATAAATAATCCCTCTTTTAGTATTGATGATTTCAAATTTAAGTCTTTGACTGTTCAATCTGATTCTCAAAATTCCCTATGTCAGCAATCCAACTGTTCTACTGACTTTGATAACTCGCTGTCACTAGAAGATGAAATGAGCAGATCTCTTTTAGAAGAAAATGAGAATTTAAAGCAAGATTTGTACAATTTTAGACTCCAAAAATCTAAGGTGGAATTTGAATTAGAAGACAGGTTATTGGCCAAAGAAGAGCAAATAAAGAATCTCTTGGATCAATCAGAAACAAGAGAGGAAGAACTGGCTCAAAACATACAATTTCTAGAAGGAAAACTTAGGGACAGTGAGAAACTAGTTGAAACCATCTCCACTGAAGCCACCCAAGAGAGAGAAGATTTTATTCGCAAGTTGGAAAATTTTAAAAAACAGTACAACACAAGCAAAAATATGAAAGCCAAAGAAATAATTGAAAATAAAATAAAAACTGTAAATGCCTCAACACAATGTCTGGTGTCCTGTAACCCGGAAAACAAAGCTACCTCAACTATACAAACAGATTTTGACTTAATCCACACCACACTAAGCAATGACTGGCTAGGTGATGAAGCTTTAGAGTTGTATTTTAATGCTCTCTCTGATAAAATGTTGATCGACTCAAAAACCTGTTTTATCAGCCCCTCTGTTGTTCAGGCAATTAAGTGTCTTAATAATTATGATTCCTACACAAAATCAATGAATTTAGAGGACAAATCTTACATTTTCGCCCCTGTAAACAATGCTGACCCTGCCATGAGTGTTCCAGGCTCACATTGGAGTCTTTTGTTTTATTCAAAGATAAGCAATATGTTTTATTACTTTGATTCAATGGGCCAACATAACCTGCAGCATGCGAAAGATCTCTACAATAAACTAGCCAAGTATACTGGCTCTCAAACAACTCCCGCCTTCAAAGTAGTACAGAGCCCACAGCAACGAAACAGTTACGATTGTGGTATATATGTACTGTTCATGGTGGACTGCCTTATTGCAACCATTGAACAGGACGAAAATGAAAATTGCACTGAGAGCTGTTCTGCAAGCCTTGATTTCAGCCAAACGGATACCATTTCCAAACGCTCTCTTTTGGCTTATCTTAGCTACAACCAACAGTACAAGAAAATCAAGACTGAAGTGTTTAAGTCCTTGATGAAAAATGTCCGTGACCTGCACAACAACAATGAGTTTAGCTCATGTCATCCCACAACTAAGTGGAACTACAGCACCTGAAATTTCTTCTGCTTCTTCTAGATTTACCTGCAATGCATGCTCCTTAGTTCAATCTGCAACTCAAAACCAAAATAAACATAAAAAATGCAAAAATGGCTTAAAAAGTTCTGTCACTAACCAAAACAAGTATAGTTCTCAGTCTGACCAACAACTTGATGAAGATATTTTCCCCCAGCCAAGCCAAGAAAATAAGAAAGAACATTTCAACAACCCAAGGAAACGAACAAACTTGAGGGTCCAACCAAAAAAATATTATAACAATAGTAAAACTAGAAATTATTGTCAAAAAAAACCTTTTACCGTCAGCCAAGGTGGCAACTTAGATACTAGTGGTAGGTCAAAACACCAGATATCATCTATCTCCACAAAAGTTCTCAAAACTGAGGCTACAATTTGCACCGATAGCCAAGGGAAAAATCTGGCATGGAAGGTGGAAGAGCTAAGTCAAGGGAATGTGAAGTCTTTTGGCTACGTCAGACCCAACACGACATTAATGCAAGTCATCAGCTCAGCTAAGGAAGACAGAAATACTAGACCTACTCCATTGCTGATTCTTGGCGGTACAAACGATAGTTTAAATGGAGACTTTAAAGATATCTACAAAAATCTTGAGAAAGACCTCCGATCACTCACTAAAATCAGACCAGTGTTCTTATGCACAATTCCTACAAGATACGATAAGAATCTACATGGTATAGAAAATAAGGAGATAAACATGATAAACAACTACATAAGGGAGATTGCAGTGAGAATAAACAGAGTTGTATTAATCAATCTACAACATCTAACAAGACGCTATTACACTACCCATGGCTTACACCTCAACATGGAAGGCACTACCAAACTTGCTCGTATATTCCTTAAGGCCTTAGCTTGGTGGGAGGCACAAGACTTGCAACCGCAGAGCAAGGTATAGCAATCTACAATCAATGTGGTTGAAACTAATATGAAAAATATGATTGAAAAATACAAAAATGAAAAAAACACTGCATTTGCCCACTGTATATCAGCTGACTTTGGAGCAGACAGGCAAATGACAGCTGGTGTAGGTGTAGCGGTCATCTTCAAGAAACAGTTTGGGAAGCCAAAATCCTCCGAATGTGTGACAAAACATCTGGCCTATCAACAAGTCCACGATGGAGCTGGAGTGTATGCACTTGTCACCAAGGACAAATTTAATCAAAAACCAACTATGTCCAACTATGATGCTGCTTTTGAAGATTTCATTGCCGATTTCAAAAGAAGAGGATTTCAGAAACTAATCTGTTCGGCAATGGAATGTGTCCGGGACCAAGTTTCTACAGAACACTTTGCCTCTAAAATAATTAC